TTTTAAGGCAAATGAGTGCATTTTTAAATTTTAAATTTCAACTAAATGCCTTACCATCGTGAAAAAATCCATAAAAATAAAAAGTCCCCAAAATGCACTAAAATGCAAGATTATGTCCTAAAACATGCTGCCAGGTGATTATTTTTTTGTTTAAAAGTCCTAAAAGCATTTTATATGAATATTTCAAAAATCACCCCAAACATGCCTTACTATAGCCTTACTATCGTGAAAAAATCCATAAAAATAAAAAGTCCCCGAAATGCACTTTTTTTTGCATAAGTTTTACCATCTGCCCAAAATGATGTGCGAAATTAGGATTTTGCTAAAAAAATACAAAAAAAAAATGTTTTTCTAAAAAAAATTCAAAATGTTCTAATTTGGTGGGAAACATGTAGAAAACATAACATTTTGAAGTTTTGTTTTTCCAAAAATTTTCATGAAAATTTTTAAACTTTTGACCAACATGACATGTGAAAATTGGGATTTTGCCGAAAAATTCCAAAAGATCATTTTTTTTCCAAATTTTTTTTCAAAATGCTCTAATTACAAAATCTAATCTAATTTGGTGGGAAACATGTAGAAAACATAACATTTTGAAGTTTTGTTTTTCCAAAAATTTTCATGAAAATTTTTAAACTTTTGACCAACATGACATGTGAAAATTGGGATTTTGCCGAAAAATTCCAAAAGATCTTTTTTTTCCAAATTTTTTTCAAAATGCTCTAATTTGATGAGAAACATGTACAAAACATAACATTTTGAAGTTTTGTTTTTCAAAAATTTTCATGAAAATGTTTCAACTTTTGACCTTTTTTTTTTGGATGTGAAAATTAGGATTTTGCCGAAAAATTCCCAACAAATTTTTTTACGAAATCTTTTTCAAAATGCTCAAATGTGATGAGAGACATATAGAAAACAAAATTTTGAAGTTTTGTTTTTCAAATTTTTTTGCATAAATTATCACCATCTGCACAACATAATGTGCGAAATTAGGATTTTGCCAAAAAATTCCCAAAAAAAGTCTTTCTAAAATTGTTTTTCAAAATGCTCTAACTTGATGAGAAACGTATAGAAAACATAAAATTTTGAAGTTTTGTTTTTCAAAAATTTTCAAGGAAAATTTTCAACATTTGACCAACATAACATGCGAAATTAGGATTTTGCCGAAAATGCAGAAAACATAAAATTCTGGAAAACTTTTCACAAAAAAGAGTAGAGTTGAGCACAGAACAAAACCTCCATATGCCATGATTAAAAATGATCTGTTTTCATAACAAAGTGAATGTCTGTCTAACAATGAATCAATATTCATTTTTAAGATACTGTACCACTGACTTACCACATAATTGTTAATTTTCCTTTTATTAAAGAAACTCCAGCCTTGCAATACAACTACATATGGGCAGAGCTGCTGAATCATCAGCAAATAGACAATCAAAAACAGCAACACATATGACACTTAGTTTAAGACCAGACCTCAATCTTCCAAAGGTGTGTGAAACACAAGGAGTGTGTGTGTGTGTGTGTGTTAGACAAAAGACACTGTAGGTAGCTTCTTAGGCAGCAGGGCCTGCATGTCTTCAATGAAGGAAATGTTCCTATAAGTATCCAATGTTATCAGACACTGATATGCCTGAAATGTAACAGACACACTGCAAGTCACGCACAAAAACATGACAAAGCCACGATGATGATAAAGATGTAGTACTGTACATACACACACACACACACACACACACACACACACACACACACTGGCCACAGGTAACTGCAGTAAACATACATACCCAGGAGAGGATGGAGAAGAAGCAAAAGGCAATCGCGGCTCTGGCAGCGTCTGAGCCCTGGGCCAATGGTAACTTGTTTGGGGAGGTCGCCTGCCACTGATTGGCCAGAAAACAAAAGCCAACAAACCACAGGAAGCTGGCCAGGCCTGGAGAGGAGATGAAGAGAGGCTTTAACAGCTGAAGACAGTTTGAAGCAATTCATGTTGTTATTAATATATGACATGTTAAAAAAAAAAGGACGTTTCAGTTACTAAATTGATAAACGTAAGAAACCAGTAGCTGACACTTTCAAGGATTTCCAAATACATGAGTTAAAAAAAATAAGGATTTAAACCTCAATTACCAGGGGCACAACTCCTAATGGACACACAATTCACCTGAAAATGTTTCTTTACCTTTTTCAGCAAAAGTTAAAATAATTTCACATTAATTATGTCAATGGTTCTGGAAATAGGGGTTGGGTCTCCCTAGGTGGTTCACACAAAGGTTCACAACATGAAAAAAGTTTGACAGAAAACGTGTTTTAAAAACACGAAACCAAATGACATGAGAACAACTTCAAAAATATTCATTTATTACTTGTTATTTATTACTGTAATTACTTGCTCATCGTAACCGCTCTAAAATAATTAGCTTCTCAACTTTGGGGCAAATAAAGAAATGGAATCAAACTCTTGATTTCTGGTTTCCTCTAACCCAACGGTGCACGACGTTTTCTACTCGGCATAGTTTATATGAACATGAATATTCATACCTGAGAAGACCAGGTCCAGCAGGACAGCGCGTCTTCTGTCCCTGACGTTGCTGATGGACGGGAAGTAAGCATCCAGGATCAGGAAACAGATGCTGCCCAGGAAACAGGCCACACCGATGGTGACGCCGTAGTTACAGGCGTCAGCGTTGTTGTTGAAGATACAGAGCAAACGCTCGCTGCCAATGTTGATGTAGCCTTCATTGATGATGCAGCTGAACACCACGATGGAGAAAACCTGCAGACACACACGCACACAAACATATATACACACACACACACATGGTGTGGATTATCTAACAGGTAAGGGAGAATGAACTCACATCGGTTTGTGAATTCCCATCATTCCTCATTCATCTCTCACATAGAACCGCTACTTAGTGATGTAAATAACATCTGACTTCAACATTCACTGATCGTAGTTAATAATAATTAAATAATTAAATTAACTATTCTGCAAATCAATTTACACATAGCATGAGTTGATTTATTATTATTATCTAACCCATGTGTGAGCTGCCACGGACCTGCTTATTGAATAGAACTTTTCTTCTGACACGTACACGACAACACAGAATTGAAAAACATTGGGCTACGCAGAAAAAAACAGAGAGAAATATCTGACATTATTAATATTTTCTTTTTTTAAAATGTGGACTGTATAAGGTAACTGTACTGTACTGTACTTGCTCAGAGATATAATTTCTTTACTGTTGCTGAAATGTTGCTACAAGCAATACAAAATATCAGGGTTTAAACCTCAATGTGCCAAAACGGTAAAACATCTTGTAGTTTGACAGTTATGTAACTACATTCCCACCTTAGAAATTGTTAAAATGATGTGCCTAATATTTACCAAAAATATTTAATTTAAGATTTAAGGCCAGATTATATAAGCTTTATATAGCTTTATAGGTTAGCTTTATATAGGGGTCTCAGACTCGCGGCCCGCAGTACAATATTTTGTGGCCCGCACCTTAATAAGAAGGTATAATATTAGTGTGGCCCGCGGAGAAAGTGGACCTCCGAAGAGCTAATCACAAAGCTCCCGCGCGCCGTCCCTTGTCGGGGCTAGGCTAAGCTACACTAGCTTCGTGCACTTCACGCTTGCAACAACAGCACGGCGTGTAATGAACAGCCAGACAGCAGTCGCCTTTGCGGTTGCCATCTATCGTACTTCCTACCACGAATGTCATGATCAAACGCAAAAAGAATGGCGGCTGTTACTGGGTTGTTTATCGTGTACGCTGCTGTTACAGATAGAAGTGTGTGACGGAGCACCTGTAGCTGCTCTGGCTCGAGAGCCGGGAGAGCTCTCCCGCTTAAAGGACGCTCCGTCACAAACCGGAAATGACGCCAGGGGCAGCTCGTGAGCGCTGCCTATGACAACGTGAGAGCATTCGCCACAAAACTTGTGTTATGGAAAGCCCAGCTCTCTCAGACAAACCTTTGCCATTTCCCAGCATGCAAGACACTCGTGGATGCAGGCACACCATTCAGTGGTGAGAAATATGTTGATGATATTTTGAAGCTACAGAAGGAATTTGATCACAGATTTGAAGACTTCAAGACGCACAGAGCCACTTTTCAAATTTTTGCGGACCCCTTTACCCTTGATGTGCAAGATGTGCCTTGCTTGATTTAGCACTTAAGAGTAGCATCCATGCTAACGGAAACAACTATTACATTATTTATTATTTGGACATTTCTGATCACTATTCCTCTGGAGGATACACAGATTAACATGATGACAACCTTAAAACATAGAACATTGTCACAGGTTACACAATTTTCCACTCTGAACTCCGTGAACATTCTTTACAAAGTTATGCTAAAATAAAATGTTGGCTTGTTTTTCTTTATTGTACGTGTCTGGAGACAGAGTCTGCTTTGTTGTTGTCCCCTAAACGTTAATTGGCGAATACAATTAGTGCTGTAAAGGGACAGACGCTAAAACAAACTATCTACTTCAAAATTGCAGCATCACTGCAACACAGAAAAAAACAAGGATGTGTTACATGGCAGCAGGTGAATTTAAACCCACAGCCTTTTCACATTAGCGCAATCCAGACACAAAGGAGGCCCAGAGTAAAAGACAAACAAATCAACACCGATAGCTGAAATCCTTAGCACAGCCTAAGTTAGCGTGGTCCTATACATGGTTCCATCAGTGAGGTCTGAGATGGACACAACACCACAGTACGACTGTGTGAATGAGCGGCAGACGACGGGAGGAGAGAGGGGGGGGCAACACAGGCCCCTCCATTGATAAACACCGAGACACTGCAGATGAATCTTACCCACGACATGAGTCTGAGGATGGTGCGTGGATGCGTGAAGAAAGCCACCGGATCGAAGGCGATGTGCCCGGCTTTCCCGGCATTGAAGCCGCCCGCCGTCTCCATACCGCCGGCTTGGTGAAGCCTGACGTCCGCAGAAAAAAAAATCCGAGAGGAGACCGTGAGAGAGAGAGAGAAAGAGAGAGAGAGAGCAGCCCACAACGGTGTCTTTCTCCTCCTCCTCCTCCTTCACCTCCTAATTCAGCCTCCGGTGTGAAGTCACACCGCGTCACCGAGAGCTGGTCACGGGCTGCGGCTGCAAAGTGGACCCTGGTGATCAGTGTTTCAAAATGTCATAAAAATCATCAATCATTCCCGTTATTTGAATATGTGATATGATGTGCAGGGACTCACCATGTATTTATATATTTATGTATAGTTGTAGTTGACATGGTGATCAATAATTCCTTTTTGGTTCTTGACAATACAACCTAATCTCACCATGACCACTGCCTTAAAATATTAAACTGAGTAAAAAAATAATAATTACAAACTATGAAAGTCAGTGATTGTACTTCATTTTATTCAGTGTGATTAACAAAGAATAGTACAATGCACTGAAACAAACTCTCTATCTCTCACACACACACCCAGTACTGTCTTTGTCCTAGTGCTAAAACTCATCTTTGCTTTGTTTATTGGCTCTTTTTGCTTTCTCAGCGTTCAGTGCATCCATGTACTTCTTTCTTTCTTCGTCCTCCTGGAATACACGAGGGAAAGAATTTTATTTTTATCATTAGAAGAAAAAAAAGAAGAAAGCAAACACAATAAAGTTCAAAGCCCACAGCGGTGCAACGGTGAGAAGTATGACTCACCACAACTCTGTATTTTTTGGCTTTCTCCATCTCTTCATCCAAAAATACAAGCAGGTCCTTCAGCTTCCTCTCCCCGGTGTAAAACACCATCTGACAGAACACATGCGTCAGTGACTTTGACAAACAACAACAATAAATCTGTCTGTATTTTTGTCGTTACTTACTCGTTCACTGCACAGAGCAGGAAACAGATACAGTGTCGGGTAGGGGCCCTGCATTGACATGTTGATGTCATTGGCTGAGGCATCGAAACGAGCGATTATCACATCTTCTCGATGCTTCAAGGCCTTGGCCAGGTCCTCCCACAGTGGAAACAGAGCCTGGGACCTCTGGCTGTAGGGCACATCTGAAAACACACAGAGACACAGTCACTGTAATGAAGGTCAATCAACAAACAGAATGGGTTGGACCCTCAAATTAGTACAAATAACTTGATTGGTCCATAGCATTTAGCAAAAGGCTAGAGGATTAAAACTGCAGATATCCTAAGAATGCAGTATGAAAGTGAAATTTGGATTTTGATATTTTTATCCACTATTTTCAAACAAAAAAAATCCATCATTGCAACACTAAACAAAAATATAAAAAAAACATTTATTTAATGAATTAAAATTAAAGATTCCTAGTATGAAACCTGGGCCTGTTTAGTTGGAAACAACACAGATGTACACACAGGAATTGAAGAAAGACAGTTATTTTAAATTGACCTAAACTAGATCAAAATTTAGAATTAGACCAACATGTCCACTGTGTGTCATCATTGGTTCCATTAAAGGAAACCAGAAACCTGGGGTTTAGACCCAAAAAATATTTCGTATTTGGTATTTAGTATTTATCATACTTACAGAACAGGACAAAAACAGTCTTGTTAGGGTTGAAGCCCACTTTCTCCAGGGTCAGTCCCACCAGCTCCTTCACAGGCTTTTCATCCCATCGCTCAGGTATCGGTTCACTCCGCATCTTAGGCTAATGTGCATAAACATATATATGTATTTATATTATAATTTATATTATTACCAAAAACTACCCAGATGATTAAATGAAACCTAGACCTTTTATTGTGGAACTCAAGAAGAGACACGAATATATTAAAATCAGACTTCTTCACAGCGACCACAAGAGGGCAGTGCAAATCTGTGTTTAGCTTTTCTTTTTTTTCTTTTTTTTTTTGATAAATAGTTCAATTCAGAGAAACAGAATAAAGAATGAAGAAAGAGGAAATACCACATGCAACGGAGCCATTTGTTCAACCCACACTCAGAGAACATTCATATTATTGTGAGCATTGTCATCGATCACATTTCATAATCAGGTAAATACTGTAGACAAAGTTACCTTAGCCTTGCCGTCCAGGTAGGATTGACAGAACTGCTTTACAGTCTCCTCATCCGGATAATCTGAGGGCAGCTGAAAGGTCACTTGATCTGTCATGTTGATCATTCGGACGAGGGGGGCTTCAAAATCTTTTACCCTGAAGTACTCCATCAGGCGGCCATTACGAGACTCGTCCACATTGACCAACACGAACAAAATCTGACAAAAAACAGATAAATATGGAGGTGAACTACTGTTTTAATCATATAGTGTTGTTTCATGTGTGTGTGTGTGTTTGTACCTTTAACCTGAAGGCCAGAGCTGCGTTGGTAAAAGCAGAGTAAATCTCCTGAAAGTCTGCGGAGCTTTTTCTGATGAACAGTAGGAGGTGATTCAAAACTGGGGAGGAAAGAATCTGAGAAGCTGTCTGTGAAAGGAAGAGTCAACAGACAGCATAGAAACAGAACACAGTTTAACCCAGTTCTACCAACTCACTGAGAAGTAGCCTATACTTGATGAACAGTTTTTTTTAATTGGATAAATGTGTGTATATATCCATAGGGGGAGCCACTCATTTGCTTTGAGTGGCTGTCAAATTGTGTTTATTTATTTTTATTTGTATTTGCATTAATCACAGGGAAGCTGTCAATTAATCATGATTAACTGAGATGAATCAGCATTCCTAAATATAAGAAAAACATTTCTTCTGAACTGAATATTACTGGAACAGAAAGACAAATAACAGCAGGCAGCGGTTTGAAGTGTTTTCACACAAGATGGGAAGATGTATATAGAAAAATGTTAAGAAATAAATGCAAAAATACAATTCATAAATAAAAAGAAAATTGGAAAAAGTTGGTTGATTTTTTTTTTTTTTTGCCATAGAACGCACAATCGAGACTTCTGCGCTCGGTGAAGTCTGACCTCAGGGTGAAGCCGCTGCAGACAAACGCCAGGAGCTGAGTTGATATTTCCTGCCTGGTGAAATTAAAATTCTTCCCTGCAGTGTGTGTTACTGACAACTGATCTATTTGAATATGATTCATTTCACAAATTAATGATTGGGGTTAACGTGTTATTTTAACAGCCCTAATTAAAACGCAATTGAATAATTAAAATATTTCTGTGTAGAGCACATAGTGTACTTTGTGGATGTGCATTTGTGTGTGTGTGTGTGTGTGTGTGTGTGTGTGTGTGTCACCTTTCCAGTGTATTCGGTGACAGGTTCCATGGAGAAAACAGTGATAAAGACAATCAAATCCTCTTTGGACGTCAGAGGCGTTATTTTATGAACCTGAATGGTTTTAGACTGAAACATGCAAATACACACACACACACACACGCACGCAAACACACGCACACACAAGTACATGTGAATAAAATGAAAAATTACAGAAGTGTGTGTGTGTGTATGTGTGTGTGTGAATACCTTTTTCAGCAGCAGCACCACATCATGTGTCTGTCCATACTTTCTGATGACTTCACTGTTCTGTGTCACAGCAAACTTCATGTCAGGAAGGTCGATGGCTGCGGAGTAGAACACCTGAACGTAGTCATGGTCCAGTTCCTACACACACACACACACACACACACACATTTTACTGTGTATAAAGTCCCATCTTCAGGTAAAAAAAAAACATATAATAAAATATAGAAATAAAGGTTTTCTCACCTTGAAGAATCCAACCACTGTCACTTCCTCTGAGGTCTCTAATTGGCCAAGATCAGTGATGAGGTCAGCAGCAGACCCCGCCCTTCGTTTTAACCAGGTGACGATGGACGCTGAATTCTGGGGAACTAAACACCGTTGACATGTTTCTAAACGTTCACTCACGACAGGTCAGTACAAGAACGTCAGGTTTTTGAGTTGAATTGTTCCGGGTCAGACAATTACTAAAGTATTTTTGTCATTCTGGTAATAAAACTTCCCAAAACATTTCCAGCGACTTTATTTAAAAATTGGAAAGCAGAAAAAAAAAAATATTTTCAGCCAAACAACTTTTAACTTCTAATGACTGCATTTACACTGCCATAAAGGTATTCAACAACACCAGTGGAAGTATCAACCAATCAAAATCAAGCAGTCAAACCACCAGTCTGTGAACTAATAAGAACAACATTAAAGTTTTCTAAAACCACTTGATCAAGTCTCCAATAATCACAGGCCGCCGTGGGAAACCCTTCCTGCTCTGTGACTGTGATACACACCAGTACGTACCTGGGCAAGGTACAGGGTTGTATTTATCTCCGTCCAAGTACAGCCTGATACCGGCTGAACTGGTGGCATTCAACTCTTTGGCCAAGTCCTTTTCCTTTGTCACATCGACCACAGCAAATTTGACCTCTGACCCCTGAAGTTCTGAAGCAGCACCTTCGAAAGCTGCCTTCACACGTAGGCCTTCTTGATACAGAGGTGTATCTGCACACGAAGGAGGACGACAAAGACACAACAGTTCTGATGAAATGTCGCTCTTTTTGTTTGTGGTTATTGGTTCTTACTTAATCACTTGTCGGACGCCAGTTTTGAACCAAATGGTGACGGTTCAAACAGACAGTGTGTGTGTGTGTGTGAGTCACTTACAGAAATGCACCAGGAGCTGCTGGTATTTTCTCAGAGCCGTGTTAAAATCCTCTGTGGTCAGCTGCAAAACTCCATCCTCCTCAGGCAGAGACTGGGTGTCAGCAGCAGCAGCAGCAGGAGCAGCAGGAGCAGCCGCAGCAGCCGCAAACAACACAAAGAGGGAGGAGCCCGGCTGCAGCGCCTTCATGGTGGAACACCTTCAATCTGACAACCTGGACAATGGAATGAGGCTGGCAGACCGTAGGGAGCGGTGAAAGTGTGACATAACTCCACTAATTAAACGGGAGTGGCGCATTTTAGAATGCATTCTAATCAAATGTTGAGACAAACGGAGGTGTGGCGTAGTCTTAGACGGGCAGCGTTCTCAGACTTGTTGTCGTTACTGGGAAATTTAAAAAAAATGATAATTTTTTTTTTCTCTCCCCTCTCTCTCCTCCTCCGTGTGTGCGGCCGAAGCCGTCTCAGCCTTCGTTATCTGCCGCCTCAACCCACTGTTCTGTAGCTGATTAACTTCCGTATCTGTAGTAGTATTTGTAGTATCTACATTTTCTCTTTCAAACCCTGTTACAATCAACAAGGTTAAAACAGAACTTGAAACTCGTAGAGTCTCGCAACAGTAGATCATCTGGGCCTGATGTTCTCTACCATATACAGTATGTGACCCACAATTTTACTTGGGCTGTATGCGTGGCCCAGATGTTCACAGTGGCAGGGACTGAGACCAGAGAGGTGTCATTAAACCTGTGGTAGTTAGTCCATTAACAGAGTTATTGGTCAATAAAAACTTATCAGTATAATATTAGTGCAGTGGCCTGACAGTGAACTTGAACTATGGACCTCCTCTACAGGGTTTGTTTTCACAGCCTGAGGGACATCTGGACGGTGACAGACGACTGTGACAAATCACAGGGAACAACTGCTCAAACTGCAAAGTAATCTACAAAGTAAAGAAGAAGAAAAGAGTAAACACAATCAAAAGATCAGAACATGAGTCTTTGTCTGGACTTATCCAGTGAGAAAAAAAGAACACGTACAGACCTTAGGTCGACACCTGGAGAGAAAACATCTGATTTCAAAACATTTAGTTAGTCAAACACTTCTCTAACCAGACTCTATATACATTCATTTATTCATGACGAAAAAACCTGATTTTAAAATTACAACTTATGAAAAAAAAAAGTTCATTTTAAACCTCGGTCTTACCGCTCAGTCACAGGTTAAACAGGTTAACGAAGCTCAGCTGTCAGCTTTTGTTTTCTTTGACAAACATATCAATCAACCAAACAGGTTTGTCCCATCCAGGCTACATTCTCTGTGGTGAAGGACGACTATTTCACTGCCATATATTTCATGACAACGATGTCTTTCTTTAATAATATACTGGGGGGAGATATCAATAAAATGTAAACCCCTGACCCCTGCTGTTAGTTTTTGGCACTTCACTGAGATGGCAGGGGCAACAGTGGCCCCCAGTATGATGAAAATCATCGCATGAATAGTTTGTCAGTGGACTTCTGTGTAGGATTGAGGGCATTTTACCTAACCTTACAGATACATTTTTTTCTAATAAATGTAGTTCTGTCATATAAACTGCTGTGAAAACGTTTGCACAACTAATCCACAGCTTTCTTTTCTGATCAACTAAGTCAGATGTTGTTCGGGTTCAAACAACGGCACTCCTTTCTTTGTCTTTCACAGCTGTCCACTCCACTCGGTCACCTTTTTCCTCATTCTTTTCCAAAGGTCAAAGGTGAGTTTCAGTTTCTGTGACAACATCGGTCTTCACTTTCAAACCCACACCCCGGCTGGTGTGTCTGTCCTGGGATGAAAGGTTAAGTTCTGGTTTCAAATATTTCAAATATTTAACAAAGTTTTAGCAGCAAACATCTCCAGCTGCTCTCGCCGTGCAGTCCATCACTCCTCTGTCCGTCAGTCCATTAGTACGTCCAATATGTCTCAGTCAAATATGTCACCACAGTTCTGTCTCTTCAAGGCGACGGACCGGAGGAGCCTTCTGAATTCAGTCAGCGTCATCTTTTGAAAACATGCAGGTTGTTCCCACACTCTGGACACGCGTGATAGGCGTCTTGTAATCCACGTATCATCAGGGGGATGAGACAGAAGCCGCAGATGAGCCTACGGTGACGGAACAATAGGACAAAACAAAGGATCATTTCAGATGCGGAATTGTTCATCGCACTTTGTAAAAATTGAAACATGATCGTGGCCTCAAGGTCAAAGTTCCAAATGTCTACTGTGGTGGGGCGGTTATATAGTCGTATCTGTGGTCAGTGTACTACAGTGCAGAGCGCCACACATTTTAGAGCAGCACACCTCCATTAAAATGACTGTATAGATGTCACTACATCATCATTTATTAATAAATGTTTCTGTAATGTATTATTGTTTATTCAAGTTACAAATATTGTTCATTGCTGTATAATAAAAAATGCCTTTTTAAACTCTTGCAGGCCATACTTAATGACTCGGTGAGCCGCATTTGGTCCCCGGGCCTTGAGTTTGACACGTGCTTCAGAATGATGCAACGTTTAATAAAAAACACTCCTTTCAGAACATGAATATTGGTTTAACTTTGATCCAGGACCCCTGAACCTGTGAACACCTCCACCACACGGGGTGCTGCTGTGCGTTTGCGTATCTCACCCCATCAGTGACAGAATGGCGCACATGCACCAGGCACCTTTCCCCGGCAGGTACGTGACTTGTGTGGTGACGACTTTGTGGCAGTACTGGCAGCGCACCAGCCCAGGTTGGTCCGTCAGGTACGACAACATGATGGGAACAGGCACCGGCTGCGTCACTATCACCGCTGGTCGGCTGCCACGGGCCGACGATGTACCTACTGCATGACACAGACAGAACAGAGGGAGGCGTCAGAGAGCAGATTTAATACTTTAACTGCTCAGTCACAGCAGATCAGTTACCTTGTGTGTGTGAATGGATTATGTCTTCATTGTTTCGGGCAGACGGTCGGGACAGGACAGGAAATGGATCTGTCTGAGCTGTAACTGATAATTTAATAAAGGTATAATAGTAAATATTTAAATATAATATGTATGTATGTATACACACATATATTAAATTGTCTATATATACATATATATACAGTATATATAGATATATATACATATATGTGTGTATATGTATGTGTGTGTATATATATATACATATATATATTAAAAGAGAGAGAGAGAGAGAGAGAGGTTATAAACTCAACCAAACTTAATCAGGTCAACAATGATCATGAGACAGATTTTCTTCAAAATTATACCTGTAAAAGACACTAGATGTCATTCAGACACTGACGACTATGGACAAATATAAAGGTGATAAATATGATTCAAATATGTGTAAATATATTTCTTGATGCGATAAAAAAAAAATTAAACACCTTAGAACAGTTTCTCAAACAACATTATCAGCATTACTTTACTTTTTGAGGAGCTGACGACTTCTTTACTTCAACATGGCCGTGATCAGTGTAAATAACTTCCCTTGAAACAGTTCTGGTTGTGTTTCAAATTTATATTAAATATTAAAGCTAATACGTTGTATTTTTATTTATATATCATGTTGGTCAACATGGTTTCCCTGTCCGTACTACGCTGCTTCCAGAAACCTCACCTTAAAACCCACGTAATGGTGAGAGTGAGGAAGTGTCTGTGTACCTGCTTCTCCGTAGGTGGGAGGAGGTGTGGAAGGAGAGCTGATTGTGGCATAGTATGACGGGGGAGGGGGGGAGTTGAATCCTTCTGCAGTCAGGACAGGAGGGTGGAGACTGGCCTCCTCATATGAAGGGGGTTCCATCAGGAGATCATCCAGTCAAACAGGATGCTGCTGAGAGACGGTTGAAAAGTTCAGAAAACCTGTTGGAACACAGGCAAACAACAACGGCGTCTTTAAAGATTTTTATGAACTCAAACCAGTGTCTCAGTCTGTGGGTGTGTGACATCACACGCTACTTACAACAATGAACTGGAAGGTACTGTATATGTAATTAAACGTCTTCAATGCGTCAAAGACCAACTGAAGTTAAAGGCAAAACAT